GGTGATAATGAATGGATCCTATTGCATGTGACGTGGCGTGTATATCTTATGTTGCATGTGACCAATACGTTTTAGAAATGTTTCTTTAGTGAAGGTGAAACTAATACCATTATTTACTCTTTTGTGATAAAAAATAAAAATTAACATCATGCGATCGCAATTAGCATCACAACATCTGTATCCACGGAAAATTACAAAAATCTTTATGCATATTTAAAAACATGGTCATCGTCAAGATTTAAAAAGATGCAATTGGGTATAGAGTGCAAATTGTATTTTAACACTTAAAGTGTGATGGCAAAACAGCAATTTAAAAAAGCTAGATTGAAGCTTAGCGATTGGTAGCTCTTGAGAGTAAAAAGATATAATATATATTGAATGAAATGCAAAGAAGATAAAATAATTATTGGAAGAGTACATGGAGAAAAAGAAAGACCTTTAGTGGTGGCTGATGTTATCATCACGTACGCATGTTTTGTGCTAGTTTTGGAATTTAATTAATGAAACTTCTTACACTGTTTATTTTGGTGGAGGTAGGAAACACACGATTAAGCAATGGAATAGTCCATTGCAGAAAACAGAGAAAATGCATTAATCTTTCTAGTTATATATAGTTATTACTCTTGTTCCATCATTAGAACAAGGGATTTTATAAATTTCTTAAGCATACTTACAGAATATTAATTTTATATATTTTAAAAAAATAATTCAATTTTTAATTTTTTTTGTGTGAGTATGGGTAAGACTTGTATCCATATTCTTGTGACAATGGAAGATTTGCTTTGTTTTTTCATAGACAAAACCTTTTTCTTACTAGACACATACATGGATGTAGCATGAATGATGATATTTCGTAGCTGTAATTTATTGTATATTTTATATTTAAAGAAGTTTGATAAATATTTTTTATATTTTAAATTTTTAAATATATTTCGTTATTATGTGTGTGCGTTTTATGGTATCCAACTTAAATGTTTAGCTATTAGTGTTGTTGAAGTATGCCTTAAAATTTTAAATGAAAAAGAGAAAAATAATATATTTTGAGATTGCAGAAATAAAAAATTAGCTAGTTTGAAAGTCGAAGAAGACGGCATAGCTACGAGGGAGCTGACAGCGATGCAAAGTGAGACTGACAACAGAGTTAGCATGACTTGAGGCTAGCTCCAGAGTTGGTGTGTCGATGCAGAGTGAGGTTGACAGTGAAGTCGGGGCAAAGGGAGGTCGGCGGTGGATCCGACATGGCGAGAGGCTGGAGATGACGCGAAAATGGGTTTAGGCCAGGCATGTGGTGTTGGAACAAAATTGGTTTGGCCCATATCTTTTAGGTTTTGATGATAACAAAGTGTTTAAAGAACAATTGGATATACTAATATTTGTCCAAGTGTGCAAGACCATAGACTAAAATTTTATATAGAATTCAAGTATTCGTTATAACTATGAACATCTAAAGATAAACTTAAAGACCAAAGTCTGATGGATTAGAATCTGAAGACCAGACTCTAAAGAAGTCAACTTTTAAAAAGGTCAACGCTTGAAGGAGGCAGCCTCTAAAGATCAGACTTTGAAGAAGCCTGCTTCTAATGATCAGAACATGAGTCAATCAAAGCACAAGGATCAAAGTGAATTTGAATACCTTACCTCTATTTTCTTTATAGATCCTGTTAGAATACAAGTATTAATTCCATTATTAGAAAAGGGATTTCAAACTATTTCACCAACCTTGACTGTTTTGTGAAACATCTCATGTCTCTTTTGAAGCTTCTCAAAGACTCTATTGTATTGGATCTTCAACGAATCTTTTTCTCTCTATTTAAGGAGCTAAAGACTTGAAGAAAAATACATCAATTGACACAGAAAGAGAAGTTAATATATCAATACAAAAGCACAAGTTGAACTTAGGATTTCTTATCCTTGTAAAACTTAGAAATTTCTAAGTCTTTAAAGAGTTTATTTACATTGTATTATTTATACACCTCTGATTGTATATCAAATGTATTTTCCTAAATAATTATTTATCTGTTAGGTAGATTGTTATAAGTCTCTTACTAGGTGTTTGAGCATATAAGTCTCTTGCTTGTGTGCTTGAACATAAAAGTCTCTTGCTTATATGCTTGAGCATTGGAAGTCTCTTACTTATGTACTTGAGCATAGAAGTCTCTTACTTTAGTGCTTAAGCATTGGAAGTATCTTTTTCTTGTGTGCTTGAACAAATTTTAATCTTGTGTGATTATAGTGAAAATCTTTTGTAAGTACAAGGGATTGGATTACTCTCAAATTATGAGAGAAACCATGATAACTCTGTGTGTCACTCTGCTTTCTTGCATTTCAAATCCGTTGCCTACCTATGATTGAATAATATTCTACAACTTGTGTTTAGAATATGACAAAAAGTTTAAAAAAGAAAGAAAAAGTCAACACAATTCAACCCCCGTTCTTATTTTTTTTCTCACTTTTATTTGGTATCACAGAACTGTCTGTGCTTAACACTTAATATTGGTGCAGAAAAGATCTTGAGAAAAACATATTGAATCATGTCTAGTGTTTCTGATGCGGGAACTGGTACTCCAATTCCACATGCTGCTATTAATCATTATTATAACAATTCATAAAAGAACAATTTTACAACTAGATCTCCAAGTTTCAGTGGAGATTCTACTAAGTTTGAATGGTGGAAGAGCAAGATGTATACTCATATCATAGGTCTTGATGATGTGTTGTGGGATATTCTAGAAGATGACATTGATATTCCAGAGAATGGAGTTGGAATGATGTATGATAGAAAAACTCTTACATTAGCTCAGAAAAGACCTATAGAAAGCATCATAGAGTTAGAGGCATCTTGGTTGATACTCTACCTCACTAAGAGTACATCAAAATCATTGATAAATCTACTGTTAAGACCATTTTCGAATCCATATGTGCTACTTATGAAGGGAATCAACAAGTTCTGGAAGCTAAGGCTAACCTTCTGGTTCTAAAATATGAGCTGTTTAGAATGAAAGATGATGAAGACATTGAAACCATCTTTGCTTGGTTTCAAGATCTTGTATTTGGACTTCAGTTCCTGTACAAAGAGTTACACCACATCTGATCATGTCAAGAAGATTCTTAGGAGTGTTCATGCCATATACATTCATAAGGTGATAACTATTTAGAAAGATAAAGACTTAAACACATTAAATATTAAAAGTCTTAGCAACAATCTTTAGAATCATATGACGGAGCTCAATGAAGATGAACTTGTCGACAAGTCAAAGCCTCTGACTTTAAACTATTTTTCTAAAATTTCTAAGCCTCCTCAAGTTTGGGAGTCTGAAGAAGCTTCTCATGTAGAAGATTCAGAAGATGAATCAGATGATGAGGAAATAGACTTTATCATTAAATGATTTTAGTATATGGACAATAAGAACAAGAGATTCTCTAAAAGAAGTAGTAGCTTCATAGGATCTAGTTTCAGATTAAAGAAGAATGATAAAAAGGATGCTTCAACAGCAAGAAGTCTGATAACTTCATTGTTGACTATCCTAAAGTGCCAAAGGACAAGTCAAATAAGAAAAGCTTTTAGAATGATAGCTTCAGAAACAAGTTCAGGAATAGTCTTGTGGCAACATGAGATGAACTTGACGATTAAAAAGACTCTAAAAATGATGAATAGAAAGCTAACCTTGACTTGATGGCTCTTATATCTAAAGCAGAATCTGACTCATATTATGGTTCAGAGTGTGGGGAATATGATGCGTTATTTTTCAAACTATCTCATTCTGATTTAATTAGTTTCATTCAAGATGTCATGGGAAGATGTCAAAAGAAAGTCAGACACATAAAAATATTGAAGAATCAATATGATCTTTTGAAGGAAGAATTAAATTATGTTCAAAGTAAAAATGAAGCTCTAGAGAAAGGTTATATTGCTCTAGTAAAGGATGTGTCTGATAAGCCTCTTTATGATCATGAAATCACTCTTCAAGAGTTTATCATAAATGAAATTAATATAAATAAACTTGCATCCGTAATTTATGGAGTAAGTAGAAGCAAATGAGTACCTAAATTTCAAATTGTTTTTCCTACAAATATGTTTCAAGGGAGAAGCAAAGCAGTAGTCATAGTACCTAGACAATGACATCTCACGACATATGACAGGAGAAAGACATATGTTTCAAACCCTAACTCTCAAAGAGGAAGGAATGTTGCGATTTGGAGGAAACAAAAAAAAAGAAGGATCACTAATCACTACTTTAAATAACGTTTTTTATAACGAAATTTACACCTCAAAAAATAAAATAAAAACAAGAGTATAGGTCCTGGGAGCGTCATATTTGATTATTTTTTAAAAATAAACGACATGTTCCCTCGATTTTTAAGAAAACCGAGGGAATATAACTATAAGGGAGCTCACTTCGAATCTTAGTTATTGCATTTTATATTTTTTTAATGGTTCAATTAATATTTCTCACTTGACGTCTTTTCAGACTCACTTTTTCTCTTTGTTAATTTTTTATTTTTTATTTTTATTTTATATTAGTATTTACCTTGGTTACATGGTACAATTGAGAGATAATATATTTTGTATCAACAATTTTAAATTATTATTTTTAAAAATCCATTTTATTTTTTTATTTTATATATTTAAATTTGTCGTTTTTTTTATTAAAAATCAACGTGATTTAAATATATTTTTTAAATGAGTTTAAATATATATTTTAAATGAGTTTTTTTGAATATGATGCTATTATATATTTTAAATGTTTATATTAAAAAAAAAAACATTGACCTGGATAACCCTTAAGCAACCGTTATCCGATATAGCTTGAAATAAACTTGAAATAAAATTGCTAGAACATGTGTTATTTGAGTGACATACCAAACTTTAATGTGATCCAAGTGTTTTCATGGAGAATACAAAGTTAGCCTAGAAGAGAGTATATGTTGTACCTGAAGAGTGAATATTTATATTACTTCAGTTATTACACTACTGTATAGTACATGTTTGAAGCCTATTACTAGATTACTTCAGGTATGCTTTTCAATACTGGTTTCCGCTCCCATAGAGAATCATCATCATCATCATCATTTTCTTTACACAAATCTTCACCATCCATTCCCTTTTCACCATGAGCAAGAGATAACATCTTGTCAACTGAAATCCCTCCATTATCTAACATATCTTGCAGTTTTTGCTTACTAACAACAACCTTAATCCTAACAACACTACTTTTATGTACATCTTGAACTTCTGGATTTGCAAACCTCACCTTCTTGACCCCTTTAGGTGATGCTGGTGGTGGAAGTGGCAAAACCTCTTCAACTTTGATTGCTGTTGCGTATTCAAGAACTTTCCTATCTGTTTTCATGATCTTCATCATATTAATTTGTTGCAGCACCAAACAATTTCCCATGTTTTTTTCTTTAGTGGTGCTTAATAGAAAAGATGATATAGTTAGTTTATTTAGCAAGTGAATTAGGAATCAATGTTTTGTGCAATATATAAACTACTTGGTCATTGAAAATGCCCTTATGGTATTTGAAATATTACAAAAAGAACCTAATTTTGTCTTATTTTAAAGTGTGGAAGTGAAATGAAGTTGGAGTCAATATGTCATTATCCTGGGCGGTTGTATTGTTGGGAGTGTGAGTGGATTATGACCAAAATGTGTCATTGTCATAATAAGAGCATGTTGGATGGTGTGGGGCCCTTAAAAGCTCATGTGTGTGAACTACAAAGATTTTGTTGTGTTGACTAAACCCTATGCTACATTGGCTATCTGATCCCTAATTCATCTTTTCTTAAGAGATACATCTTTACAGGAGTAGGAGTAATATTGAATTTGATATCTAAAAAGTGAATCTTGTATTGTGTATTAGCTTTACTAGAAGTCTAATATTAAGTCCATTTCCTTATTAGGTTTTCATTATTCTGTATTTTATTTTGATGGTAAAGTTAGTTGTAACTTAATTCTTGATTTATTAGGTACATATAACTAAAGGCTATCATTATCAATCAATTCAATTAATTCCTACATTACTAACAGAATTATGAGTTCAACTCTGCTTTTCAATTGTTCATCATCAACATGGTATTAGAGCAAATATGCTGGATAGCCATTGTTCTCCTTTCTTGTGACAATTCTCAATTGTTTATATTTTTTTCAAATTTTTTCCCGATTGAATACTCTTAGTTTTTCAACATTGGAATTCAATTTTTTGTTTTTGTTTTTTTTTTATATTATTTCGATTCAATGGCATATTGAGCCATACTGATTTCTTAACAAATTCTGCAAACCCTTTTTACTTAAATCCTAATGAGAATCCTCCACCAATTAACGTTTCCCCTTCTTTAGACAACAAAAACTATCATACTTAGGTGCATTCCATACAAATTGCATTGATTTCCAAAATTAAAGAGAAGTTTATTGATGAAATTATAACTAAATCTTATATTTCATATTTGTTACGTGTTTCTTGTATTTGCTGCAAAATAATGGTGCTCTGGGATTTAGCATATTCCTGATTTAATTTTGAAATTGGTGTGCACTAGGTGTTTGGAAGAATCTGCATAATAAGTTCTCTCAATGTGACATTTCAGAATTTCCAACATCTAAGAAGATCCCAATACTACGAAAAAAAACACCATTTATCTCGCCTAGAAATGGAGTTAGCTTTGGTTTTGTATGCGAGATTACGAAGTGCGTCATTTTATCCATCGGTTATACTTACACCGAAGAAAAATCTTATCGGTAATGGGTTCAATCCCCAACAAATGCATTTTTTCTTCAGAATTGGATAGCGCGCACCACTTTTTTTCTTAGTTATATGAAATACTGAGAAAATAAATTTAGTTTTACTACCTCGATTTATCTAAATAATAGAGGAGAAATCATTGATATATTTTCCTTTAATTTGTATTACAGAACCTAGTTCTGAAACAAAAATATGGTATAATTTGCCCATTTCTAAAACAAAAATATTGTATCAAAAATAGACATTATTTGCACCAAATACAAAGCTAAAATGACACACACATTATATTTTATCTACCAAACTAAAACAAATAATAAATCAACAAAAATAAAAACAAAAATGTAAATTCTTTAACGGTCGTTCAAAAATTTTCTTCTGCAACTAGCAATGAAACACCCATAATTTGAACCATATTTGAAATCAATTAAGATAACTAACAAGAACAATTTTAAATCTTTAAACCATTGATCTCAACAACAACAACACTACCACCAATAACAACAAAATTCAAACTTCAATCTCTATAACAACAAAAACAACAATAACATTCAAACATCAATAAATAATTTATTATCATATATGTCACAAAGAATAACACTTACTTTATGAATTTTTGATTTCCTTATTTTTACTTCTAAAACCATGCAACATATGATATTCTTGAATAACTCTACATGTTGGGAAAAAAATATTAGTAAAAAAAATGTACATGTACACTACAAAAATACAGTAATTAACCACATGTATTTCACGCCACAAACAGACATATCACGTCACAAAAGACAATTAGCAATATGATTGTAACCCGCCGTAGGCAACTGGTTGCCACGTGAAAAACAAGCCACTAATTTATGGCATGATATTCAAGTCGCAACATATAATATTAATTGTGTCACACTGCTATGTAAAAAACACGTCACTAATTTATGACTTAAAATTCACTTCACTAATAAATAGACTGCACAGTGGGTCAATGTGGACCAGGATATCACATGAAAATCACATCACAAATTTTTGACATGTTTTTCACGTCATATATATATATATATATATATATATATATATATATATATATATATATATATATATATATATATATATATATATATATATATAATTTTTAAATATATAAACTATATATATTCTGCTTTTAACTATAAAAATGATTAAAAAATAGTATATCATATACTATGTTTGAATTTGAATATATATATATATATATATATATATATATATATATATATATATATATATATATATATATATATATATATATATATATATATATATATATATATATATATATATATATATATATATATATATATATATATATATATATATATATATATTATATTTTTATAGTAAAATATTAAATAACCGAATATATTAAAATGAAATTAATATCTTTATTTCTATTTCAAAAAATATATAAAACTAAATATTTTTCAAATTTTAAATATATATAAAAATTTATATAAACAAATAGTATATATTATTTATTCTGATTTTAAATATATATAAACATTAATATTTTCAAATTTTTAAAATAATAAATTAATAAACCTTTCTATATGTTTTATTTTACTAAAATAAATTGATATATGAACAATATATACAAAAAAAAGAAAAAACAGTCCACAAATCTACCTACCTCTCTCTCTCTCTCTCTCTCTCTCTCTCTCTCTCTCTCTCTCTCTCTCTCTCTCTCTATATATATATATATATATATATATATATATATATATATATATATATATATATATATATATATATATATATATATATATATATATATATATATATATATATATATATATATATATATATATATATATATATATATATATATATATATACATAACTTTTTGTGAAGAAATCAAAATTGAATGGAGAAGATTTAATCGGTCAGTAAAGCTCAAGTCTTGATCAATTTTTTGAGTCTTTGTCAATAAATAAAAGAAAAATCAAATAATAGAAAATTAACAGTAGACACTACAAGAAAAAACTCTGTCCAGCCACGTGATATAGTGACGTGAATATCACGTGGCAAAAAAAGGAGTTGCGACATGATAATCACGTCACTACATACTTTTATTTTTAAAAAATTGAAACTGCTGCAAGCACATGGGGAAGTTTGAAAAAATATTTAGTCAAAATATTGTGACGGATAATCACGTCGCAACACAAAAAGTACAATGAAAAAAATAAAGGGATCAGACATGCAGAGGTAGCAGATGGGGAGAAATTTGAAATTTTTCAAAAATTTAAGTTGTGACGTGATACTCATCTCGCAACATGATTTTTTTTAAAAAAAAGAACTTTATGGAGGAAACAAACTTTGATGCTGACTTGATGGTAGGGGTTGATTGTCACATTTATTTGTGTCATGATTCCCACATCGCAACCCTTAATAATTGTTGGGTGGTGCGACGTGAATTTCACTTCGTTGTGTTGCGACGTGAATTTTACGTCGCTAATTGCTCTCTCTCTCTCTCTCTCTCTCTCTCTCTCTCTCTCTCTCTCTCTCTCTCTCTCTCTCTCTCTCTCTCTCTCTCTCTCTCTCTCTCTCTCTCTCTCTCTCTCTCTCTCTCTCTCTCTCTCTCTCTCTCTCTCTCTCTCTCTCTCTCTCTCTCTCTCTCTCTCTCTCTCTCTCCATCAAGAGATATATTTGATTGTTGTTTCTTCAAGACTCATCAAGTATAAAAGGTTCAAGATCGAAGTTTTTTTTTTTTTTTTTATCTTCATTGAGGTATTTAAATTTTTTTTTTCATATTTAAATAAATATATTGGTTGTTGGTTGTAGTTAATGCAAATTTAAATGTAGGAAAATCTTTTTTTTAAAACAGAATTTTATTAAAATAAATATATAGTAAATCAAAAATTAATTTATTAATATGTTTAAATCGAAATTAATATGTTTTTTTCCGAAATATATTATATTATATTTTAAATAAAAACATAATAAAAAACATAATATAATATATCATATTTTAAATAAAAACATAATATATTTTCATATACTTTTTTAAAAACAGAATAATAATTTTAAAAACAGAGTAAAAACTGGATATTATTTTTAATAATATATTATTTATCAAAAGATATTATATTATATTTTAAATAAAAACAGAATAAAAAACAGAATATATTATATTATATTTTAAAATAAAACTAGAATATATGCAATGAAGAAGATGCAAGCTGATGTGGAGGAAATGATGCGGCAATTTATGCAATTACAAGGTGTTGTAGTAATCAAGCGTTTGGTGGAAATGAAGGAGTTGGAGATGAACAACATATGGATGACAATGATGACGATGATTTTGACCTCGACGAGTTCTCCGATTCGGATTGATCCGTAGGATTTATTTAAATTTTAAATTTTAATTTTTGTAAAATATTAATTAGTCATTTTAGTATATTATAGACTTATTATTTAAAAATTATATTATTAATTTTAGTATTTATTTATATTTATTAATTTTGGTATTAATTATATTTATTAATTTTTCATTTTAATATATTATTAAAAAACAATTTATTATTAATTTTGTATTTAAAAATTAAAAAAAACAATTTATTTATTAATTTTATTATTCTTTTTAATATATTATTAAAAATTAATTTATTAACATTTTATTAAAAGTAAAACAAT